AGATGTGTACATGCCCTGGTAGTGCTGTAGACAGAGATGTGTACATGCCCTGGTAGTGTTGTCAACAGAGATGTGTACATGCCCGGTAGTGCTGTAGACAGGTACGTTACATGCCCTGGTAGTGCTGTAGTCAGGGATATTAGGTGCCCTAGTAGTGCTGTAGACAGGGACATTATGTGCCCTGGTAGTGTTGAAAACAGAATTTGTTTGGCTTGTTTCAATGTTTTTCAGCAGGATATATACTAATTTAACAAAACCAAAAAGGTTTCTTATACTGCAATAGTGATGAAAAAGGAAATAGATTTTTTTTTTTTACATTTGTTTGGGTATTATCCCAAACCCATTTAACATTGGTGTGGAATAACATATGAAAAATGGAATTATTGCAGGCTTATCCATAAAGGTGGTTCAAAGTTGTTTTTTTTGACAACTTTAAGAACTACAGATCAAAAGTAAATATCTACAAGAAAATAGTGTCAAAAAGGTAACTTATACATTAATCCAATAACTGTTGAAAAACAAACTTTCTAGAAATGTTTGTAGGCATAAACCAGAAAAGTAAAACATATAACAGAATGCAGTAAATCATTAGTTAGGTATCCTTGCTGTTAAAAATATTTTCAGTTGTAATCCCAATAATACATCGCAAGATTAGGTTAATCCAAAATCCATACATTAAGCCAACTGTGTTGTAATCCCAATAATACCTCACAAGATTAGGTTAATCCTAAATCCACATACTATGCCAACTATGAAATGTAACGTTATAAAATTATTTAATCACTACTACCAGCAAGACTTAATGAATCTAACTATGGATAAGAACAGAGAAGTTACTTATATTCCTAAAAGATGTAGGAATTTCTATCACCATCTCAATTAATGTGACAAACTTGATAAATTAATTACATATGAACATTGACTAAAGTGATGTAAAACAATCAATCAAAATTATGACTAAATCAATTAATTTCATAAAAGTTATAATTTTCCTATATGAAACATATTTCTAATACATGCTTACCTCCTCTCACATTTATAGGTATTCTTGGTCGGTGCTGCACTCTATATGCAAAAAATTGTTTTGCATGGCACAAGCATTGCACTCCCACTACCTCACTATTGGCATGCTTCCACTGCATCTTACATGTAAATCATCATGCACAACCTTCCACCAATATGAATGCGATACAACCTTCTGACACATGTGGCTCCCTCTATTCAATTCTGCTGAACTATCAATTAAAGTTTAGGCAGAAAAGGAAGCACTGGCTTTAGTGGGGAAGGAAGGGTGGGAGGAGGGAAGTACCTTTTGGAAATATATTTTCAGTATAGGAAAATTATAACTTCCAATATAGTACATTACCTCTCCTCACCTA